TGATACATTGAGGTCTCAACCCGCGCAAACTGTACCTAAACTTACACTTTATTGCAGCTTAGTTCACAATTTTCACCTAATATAGGGTTACATCCCAGTGCAGCAAGCGGATAAATCATCCTGGAATATTACTCTGGCTAAGTTTAGCTGTGAGTGGAGCATATGTGCTTCCGAGTCACTGAAGCAAAGGCCCATAAAATACACTAATTACTGGAAGTTATGGTCACTGAGTGATTGATAGTGCTCTGCGAGGCAACTTCCCCATTCTCAGCTACTCTGACGGGTCTCCCCCACCACACAGCAATTATTAATTCATGACCCAACCCTCAGGCACTGGTACCTCTACTTCTAATTCCACTACCACAAAGATCGCGATGGAGCTGGACATTGTCCTTCTTCATCCTGGTGGCTGCTGAGGATGGCGGATGAGGGAATGGAGCTAACGGCCACTGCCTGGAAAAATCCCTTGAAATAGCTCAAGGGAGGAAAAATAACAAATATATAGGGCAGGTTTTTCCTAAGATCAAGTTTCTGAAACACAGCATTAGAATGAGTAAAACTACATAAATACTCTACAACAAGAACAACTCAAACTACTGAGCAAACCTCTGCATGTGCTATAGCCACTCTCAAGACTGAGTGAAGCATCTGAGGATTTGCCCACATTTGGCACACTACTACAACCCTTAAAACCAGAGTAACAAGGTGAGGCTCATTGCAACAAAGTGCTTTCTACTCTCTTGCTTTCCTCATGCCTCCTGTTATTCTCAATGGCTCCACCAGCACCACCAGCATCACAATGGCAAGGCATTTCCTTGTATCTCCAGTTTAACCAAGTAAAATAAAGTTCTGCTCTCTGCAAGCACACAAAAAGCAAGGCCAAGCTGAGTAAGAAATGCCACTTGATCAGACACCCCTCACTCCAGCCAAGGAGTTCATTACAATATCAAGACTCCTGCTCTGTATGGAGGTCAAATGCAATTCTCATTTTCTTTTTAAGCTTGACCCTTGCCATTTTCTAATGGGCTATTTTAATTAATATTCCTCCTGCCTCTGCTCAGTGTGGCTTTTGACACTGGAGGTCACTGCATGGTCTGTGCCTCACACAGATTCACAGATGCCCCATCATGACTGTACCCCTTGCTATCAAACCTTCACCACATCACAGTGCCACTACAGAAACTGTGCTGCACCACCAAGCTTCAGGTCTCAGATTCCACCTCAGCATCTGCCTACCTGCTGTTGTTTAGGCAAGGGTGTAATACTGATGAAAGACCAACCATAACGTCCACACTTAAGTGAACTCCTAGCAGATTAAATCATGTTCTGCAGAGCTTCCTGCAGATCAGCTCACAATCTTCATTTTGAACCATTATCACATCAAAGCTGATGATGTGTGACTGATGACATGCTTCAGACTCCTTAGAAAGTTCGTCTGAAACCTTCTCTCCTTGACCAGATTACATATACACAAGTCTTTACATCAGCTTCATGCAGCTAAAGCATTTCAATCTTTAAGATGTTTAAGAGAATCGTCTTAAAGCAGAGCTTCTCTGCAGCACCCTCTTCAAACATGTTCCTCCTCTTTGCTGTCATGTTCTCATTCTGGGAGTTTAAAGAACTTGTTTCTAACATTAAAACTGCTAGACAAGCTCCTTTCCTCTGAAGGAGAGAACACTGATCAGTTTTGCAAGAAAAGTTAGTTTTAAAAAGAGGCCTCCAACACAGAAAAGTAGCTCTTTTTATCAGCAGAGAACAGCGGAAAGCAGAGACTAGGATGTGATGGAAAAGGAGGTGCACAAAGGTATCATTAGCCAGTATTCATATTTCAGAACTTGCTAGTTTTGTGGCATAAGCAAATCACTTATTTCCTGCATTTCAATGTAATATAATACCAATTTTACTGGTACATAAAATGAGCCCTGGATCTTCTGGCAAAGATGTGCAAGCCTATACTTCCCCTCAACAAACACCTCTGATCACAACTCTACTCCACTCCCTTCCCAAAACTCCACTCCCTTCCCAAAACTCCCTGCTCACCTACCATCTCTCTCCCCAGGACACGTAGGAGACTCTGGTCCTCAGTCCTGTCTCAAGAGCATGCCAGTGCATCTCAGCAGTCACCTCCGAGATGGCAAAATCCAGGGGAAAACCAAGAGGCAACCCCTGCAGAAGCAGGAGGGCCAAAGAAGACACCAGGTCTACACAGTCCCACCAAAAGCTCTTCTCACCCAGCTTCTTGTCTCTGGCAGCAGTCTCTTATCCCAGGAGAAACGGCTCTGCTGAAGGCATACCTGCTCCTCAAAAAGGCACCACTGGACAAGAACACTGCCTATTCAGAACACAACAAGATGAATCCTTTGGATGCTTCAGAGTCCACTTTCAGCTCACAGCCACGCAAGGCAGGATGAGAGTCATATTAGAGAGTAACAAGAAATATTAGGCAATTCTATTTATCCTGTGCAGACATGGCTCTTGGAGGGTGGCTGCCTCGGTTACAGAGCACACACAGCTCTCAGGCTCAGCCCAGCCCAGAGTGTATTTATGACTGAGTTATAAACCCTTGGAAAACAGCTTTTATAAATGAAAATGCTGACACAGTCTTCAGTGTAGTGACAGCAATGTCATTGGTTTAAACTGAACTCGCTTTGTCAAGCCATGAGCACCTCAATGAAACACCTAAAACCTCATGAAAACAGGCAAACTTTGCGATGAAACACTTTAAACAGGTTTCCAGCAAACTAATAACAATAATAATAATAATAATGATGCTAGCAGCACTTTTTAAATTTACTTATTTTCATTTTTAATTTCTTCCCTCTTTTTGGCAAAGGAAACACTGAGCACCCTCAGACATCTCTTACTTCAAAGGGAACAAGAACACTCACCACTCTCAAGACTCAGGTGGTTCCCACCACCTAATACTTTTCACACTCTGCCAGCAAGTTTTCTGGGGCAGCTTTCTTAACCTCCAAAAGTAAAACTCAGTTTCACATTACACGAAGCTTTGCAGCAAAGAAATCCAAGACATTTGAAAGGCTCAGAAGAATATTAAAGAAACTAAGCAGATTTACTTAGCTGGTAATTTATGTTCTCATACATCAGAACAGCCCTTGCTAACTTGGTCATAAATGCCATTTCTTTTCAATTAACATGCTCTAACAGTGCTACCACGAATCGCAGGGATTGGAGTATTGCACCTCTAAGTGGAGATGATTTTAAAATCCTACGGCAAATGCCAACTTCCCTTTTTAACAGCTCCATCAACAAGGGCCTGGGTGTCTCCACTACCAATCCCCATGTCAATACAGTGTTACTTTAATGACAGTGACCTTGCGTGGCTCTTCGAGCATCTTCTTCACCTTTTCTGAGCCATTTTTCTAAGGCAGTGTCCTTGCTTTCATCATTTAACACATCACTCAAACCACTTCAATAAAGCAGCGATCATGTTGAAGAGAGGTCCCGGAGGACCAGATGACATCCCAATTAACAAAGCACACCACACCAGATTGGTTTTTGTACATCTGGTTCAGAAAACATTTCTGGAAAGTGAAAGAAGGGGGAAAAAAAGTTGAAAGGGTTTAAAAGAGGAGATAAAATGCAAATGAAAGGTTTTCCTAATGTTGGCTGGTACAACATGAAATTCATCCTTCAAATCATATTCATGACCAGACAGGTTACTTACTAATAATCCTAAACTACACTCCAAATATCTTGGTCTACATGGTAAATCATCAGATTGCTGCTACACATCAAAATACATCTTTTATTCAGCAAAGGAACCAGTAAACGCTTGTTCTATAGGATTCCTGCATTTATATCCCTCTATTCAATCATGAACCAGGACAATACCACAGTCAAGTCTTCAAGTAATACAATCTGGATTTAGCCCTTTGTTGGCTGGATTAATTTACAGAGCGTATGAGCACATTCGGTATCTCTCCCAAAACTGTGAGGGCTCTCCAGCATCACAAGCCATTAAAATTTGCAGTAAAACAAATTAAGAGAGCCGCATCCCCTGTGACACGTTAAAGTATGTCATTGCTGTAATTCAGAGCTAGCTTCAGTCAGACCCTGGGAAAGATTTACAAGAGCTGAATGCAATGATTCAGCATTAAGTATTTCCACTGCGGTTAAAACTGACTTGGCAAGGAATTTATTGTTTGAAAATGTAACAAGACTCTTTGTTAACTTTTAGGCTACAAAATGAGAAATTTGCCTAAGATGCAGGGGGGCAGCACCAAGACTACGTAACTCCTATCTAATCATCTGCTAAAACATCAGTTGCACTTCACCAAAAGGCATATTCAGCTTTACCTTAATTATTACTCTATCATTATATGACATAATGATACAGTGATGTATCAGATACTAAACCAGAAGAAAAGGGAAGGGCACCTTTGCCCAGAGAAGCTGTGGCTGCCCCATCCCTGGCAGTGCTCAAGGCCAGGTTGGATGCAACATGGAGCAAGCTGCTCCAGTGGAAGGTGTCCCTGCCCGTGGCAGGGGTTAGAACTGGATGAGCTTTAAGGTCCCTTCTAACCCAAACCATTTAATCACACAGGGAAGGACTCATACCACTGGCCAAATATTTCTACAGAGCTTTTGCAAGGCCATTAACCAGCTCAAACCTGGAATATGCATAATGCCATTTTAACCCTAATAACGGTCCCCTTGCTCCCAGCCTGTGAAGAAATACAGAAACACCATCATCTTCAATCCTAGAGGTGCTGAAAGGATGCAGAGGCATTCACGGACCGGGCCCCACTTCTTACTCCCATGTGGAGTTCTATTATACTGTTAATGGTTTGTACAGAGGTTCTAATACCTAATTTGAAGGCAGTAAGAACAAACCCATTCTAAATACAGCCAAGAAGTTTAGCAATAGCTCAAAAGATGCACATATGAAACAGTATACAAAGATTACATGAAAGTATTCATACATTAGATTTAACTTGATTGTTGCCTTGTGCACGTGAGAATGACAGATACTTCCATACCTCCATGAAGGAAATCCCTAGACTCCAAACATCTGAGTGAATTCCATACTGTTCTCCTGAAATCCGCTCAGGCTGCAAAGAGATGGAAAGAAACACCTTGAGCCCAGCAAACCATCATATATTGCACAAAACCTAGCCCAGGGCAAACAAAAGAACTGAGAAAATGCAAAGAAGCTTAAAGCTCACCAGCTAACCCGGCAGAGAGCAACCCTGCTCCTCAAACATGACTTCTTGATTTATTGTGCCTCTTCTGCAAGAGCAAAGGACTTGGTTATGCTCAGATGTGTAGCTACGCACCTTGCAAAGCTGGCCTTGGCATTTGTGTTTGGGCTGTTTTATCCAACAACAAAATACAGAAAGCCCATGGCTTGCACACGTGCAGCAGAGCACAAGGTTAAGCTGTGAAAGCCCAATGGTACACGCATCTATCACAAGGGACACTTGGAAAAGAGGCTCCTAATGTTGAGTGAAGGGGCTGGGGAGTAACCACGGTTTAAAAAGCGAAGTTACTGAAGCCACAAGAACCAATGAACTCACATGCCAGCAATTTTATTTTATATACTTTCTAATTTCATTTCTGACCTATAGAAAATGAAAAGACTTTACTCAAAACTATTAATAGCAAGTTTAATGCCTCATGAAACAGAATGCTGTAAAATATAACTGCTAGTTTTTACTTGAAAGCTACAATTTAAGCATTTCCAAGGTCAAGTACAGCATGAAATGTAACAATAAAAGGCTCCATGAGACTTCTCTCCCCACTGTGCTGTTAATGCACCTGTCTAGCCCAACCACCTACAAAGCACTGGCTGTATTTTTAGTCTTTAATAATCCAGAGACCTTTGTTAGAAAACAAACTCCCAAATTAGTGCCACTCCAATGTGTTTTCGGATGTTTCCTCTGCCCTGCTAATCCCAGGTCAAGAGCTTTTATCGCAGCATGAACGTTAAGTAAAAAACAAAGTGCTGCCCGCATTGTCTTTAAGGATTGCCTCCCACAACTGCCATAACCTAAAAACCACCTCTGAATGGAACTGGAACAGCAAATCTTTTTGACTGAGTCTCATTTTGAGCTGAACAGTGACCCAAAAATCTTATACCTGTGGCAAGGTGATAACAGCAGATTCCTCTAGTGTAGATAAGACCCTGGCACTTCCCAAGCCACCAAATCAGATGCATAATTCACACTGAGGGATATTAAATGGTTTATTCTTCCCTTATAACAGCTCAAGCTTTACATGGCAACTTCTAGTTAGAAATGATGCCTTCCCAGAAGACACCAGCAAGTAAATCCTTCACATGTTTAAACAAGAAGCCTACTCATGTGGATTTAAGAGTATGGAAAAGAAGATGAAAATAACAGTAGCACATGCATAAAGTCAAGTGTGCAACACAGACCATCCCCAGGATACAGAGCTCAAAACCATTTTCTCTTTAATTTTCTATAACCGCTTACTTTCTCCATCCACAATTTTTTGCCTATATAAAGTACTGACAAAATGATTTTACAGAAAATTCCATTTTTACTGGAAATTTTAATTTCCCTATCAAAAAGTTTTGGTTTTTTTTTCCTGCTTTTTTATTGTCAACAGAAACCTCCATTTTTTTAATGGTTTCAAACTGACTCCCAGTCTGCCAAGTGGGCAACCCAAAGCTTATGGCCTTTGTTACTTTTTGATGACTTGCCTATAAATCTGACATTAACAAATGATTCACTCAGCAAGTAAACCTATTCTAACATAAGAAATCAGAGCAAGTGTATTTGAGCTTAAATTCCTCTTTTGCCACTAGTAGGTGAACACATCACTTCATCCATAAACAGTAAGGAAAAAAGTCATTTATTTAATGTACACATGGGAAAGAGAACAGTAATCTGGAGTTGTACACTAAAAGCATAATACAATTTAACTCTCAGACCTGCTAAGAGTAATAACTGAGTTGGAGAAGTTGATTAACTTGAGCTGTTTATTTGCCTGAATCACTATATTCCAGTCCTTTTAGGAAATGAAGCCATCCAAATAAGCAGGTTACTATAAAAGTGGTAATGCCCAAGACCAGATTTTTTTCCTCTCTTTATGTTTTTAAAACACTTTTCTGCACATAACATTGTGATGATGCAGGACAGACCAAGTATTTCTAGGATGGTGACACGAGTGTTTCACAAGCCACATAATGAGTACACCTTGACTAGAAAAGCACTTAGCAACTAAATGGACACCCTGGTCTGCTTGCTTCTCACAAGAAAGTAAGAAAAATTACCTGAAAGCGAGTAAAGGTCATGGATTTCTCTCTCCTCTTTTCCAAGGTTTGAAAAAATACTGTTATCAACCATTTTGTATTGTTTTCTCTTCATTTTTAAAACAAGCTGAACACTGATTTTCTCTTCATTAATACCATGACATAAATAATTTGTTAGAAGAATTTTAATTGCCAAAAATAAAAGACAGTGGTTAATACACTGCTCGAAAATGAAGCATGTAAGTTTTCACATCTGTTAAATGGAGAACTGAAATTAATCACATTCATCTAATGGAAAATAAATGCTAACTTTTGTAGTTTACTTTCAGACTGGCCCTTGTCACCATATTAATCTCCATGACATGAACACCACATGCCAGTTGTCAGGTCAGCTGGAACCACTAAACTCAAACCTCCCATCCTAGCTAACAGCAGCAGCCTTCCTCCTAGTGAGACGTCTTCAGCAATGTGTTAATTTGGTCTAAAAATGATGGGAATTTATACTTTAATGTACAGAAATAAGGCAAAGGTAGTTTCATCACCTCAACAGAGAAGTTGTGGCTGCCCTATCCCTGGCAGTGTTCAAGGCCAGACAGGGCTTGGAGCAAGCTGCTCTAGAGGAAGGTGTCCCTGCCAGTGGCAGGGGCTTGGAACTGGATGAGCTTTAAGGTCCATTCCAACACAAACCATGCTGTGATTCTATGATTCTACGATCTCTGCAGAAAACTGGGTTTTGAATGTTTAACTGACTCTGCTTTGTTCTCAGCTGTTATAATGCAGTAAAGGCACCCAGAAACAAATTAAATAAACACTTCCCCAATATTACTCTTTCCTATCAGCAAGAAGCACAGTGTCACAGAGCTGGGAGCTGGTAGGGAGCACAGGTAGGAAGGGATTGGGTCTGTGAGACAGCACAAGGGACTTGTTTTGTGGTGTGCACAATTAAGACATAGTTTATGCTGGGGATAAGGAGAGATGAAGTTTGAGAATTGATTTAGAATATATCCTGCATTACACAGAACAAGACTGAACAAATACTTCTATTTAAATGTAACTCCTGCATAAATCCACTTACCGCCATATAAGCATTTGTTCCAACATACGTCTTGGCTATAGAATTCACCAGCTATCAGACAAAACAGTCTGTTAGAACAATATAAAGATAATGTGGAAATAAAATGGGCAATTATTCCTCATTTAACCTACAATCATCATTCCTATAAATCAACTAAAAATTATGTAAAAGGGAACAAATTTATCTGCAAAGGCATTAAAAATGATTAAATCTCTCTTTTGTTCGGAATGAGAGTTCCAATTTAAACAAGCACTGCATTACAGTTTATGGCAGATAACCTTAAACAATTCTGTTAAACAGGCTGCTTATCGCTTTAGTACCCCAAACTAGTCTGATATAAAAAGTCAATTTGAAGTAGGATTGAACACGCTCATTTTTCAGTCAGCTGGCTCAAGATGTGAATAAAGCCACATTCATCACTTGAATGCAACGAGCACTAAATACGCTGGAGGGACAACAGACTCTGACAACTTATAATACAAGGCTGACCTTCTCTTTGGTCCTCGTGTTTGGCTGAGAGTAAAGGTGCAGAAATTCAAATCAACATCACAGCAAGCTCATGGGTCACTATCAGAGAAGTTCTCCAGGGAGGCCCAAAATGGAAATTAATTAAAATTTGTGCTGCACAGTGTAGAAGCCCACCACTATTGTTACTCCCAATATTAATTTTTATTGTGGGCCAGTTGGGCTCCCCAGACACGTCTCTCGTTCTGCCCTCCCTTTTGTCTGGCCAAAACGCTTTCAGATCAAAGCTGCATATCAATGAAGTTTGCTATTCGTAAGTAGTAATTACAATATCAGCAGTTTTTACTGTCATTAAACAATGAACAATCATATTCAGATGAAGAAAAGTCACCCAGAGATTAAAAATGAATAGGGCTCTCCCAGCAGAGGGGAGCTTGCTGTGGGGCTGTTTGTCTGGCAGCCAGGTGATTTCTGACATTAGGAAGAGAGCAGGCACATATCGAAAACGGGGGAATTACCTGTGTGCTGACCCCAAAGTCACACAGCTTCACCTGGCCTCGTGTGTTCACCAGCATATTAGATGGCTTCACATCTGTTGGGGAAACAAAGGTGTATTCTCTAGATTATGGCATCGTGTACACAGGGATCCTTACCAATATCAGCGCGATGGATTTTCACAGGAAATATTTCAGATATATTTCAAATGCAGCCTCTGGTTTGCAGCAGTCAGTAGCACAGACATTGTATCTCAAATACTAATAATCCATGCTATTAAATCTGCAGGTCACACCAATGTGGGGGGGACAGCAAGAGTGCTGGAGAACAGGACCTAGAATTCAAAGTGATCCTGGCAAACCGGAAAAATCAGAGTGAAAACATGAAATTCAATAGGGACAAATGGAAGCACTGTGTTTAGACAGGGATTAATCAACTGCATAAACACAGGATTAAACAACTGCCTGGAGCGTAGGCTGGAGCAGGTCTGCAAAAAAGGATCTGTGGCTGATGGTGTGAAGTAGAAATGGCTGACAGGGAACAAAGTGTCACTGGGCGATTTAGGGACAAGCCAAAAGCAACAGTGCAAAGAGTGAAGCCTGGTTCTGTACCAAGGGATAGCTGGGCTGACCTTTTACCATTCATCCCAGCCTTGTGACTTTGCATTTTATCTCTGCAATTAACCCTGCCTCCCTCTTCTCCAACACCTCTCACCTAATTCCACATGGTGACAAGAGCAGAATTTAATATTCTATGAAAATTACAAATACAAAGTGTCCCCCACAAACACCTGTATAAGGACCACAAGCAAAACAGCAAACATACAAGCACATTTGAGCTGCAGGAACACAGAATGGAGCTCTGCTCTTGGGCACCATTCTTTAGAGCTACTGGCTTCCACCTCCATGGCTTCTACTGCATAACACAGCTCCGATTGCATGCATTTGGAACAATGCCTTAAAATGATTACTAATGATTACTAATCATGCTCCAGCAAATTAAACATCTATGTACATCGTAAAGCCAGATAAGAACTTAATGCTGACCCCCTGATGCCAGAAGAAGTTGGTTTACTTCTGCTGCATACTCTAAAATCGATGTGTGAATAAACTCGATGGTAGTGCAGGAAACACTGAGCATCTTTTCTGTGCCAGCAATGCCAGTTGGAAAGTACCATGTGCACGTTATGGCCTGGCTTTAACTTGGGAAGATTAGAGCACAGTGGCTTTGCCTAATCACTGCTTTCTTCTGTCAAAATGGATTAAAAGCAATAGCTTGTATCTCTGCCTTCTTTAAAAGTGAACACTAGTTGGGTGCAGATGGATGAAACCCAACTAGAAAAGAACCTAATTTTGTTTATCATTAAGTTTGCCTTTGTTTAGCAGATGTTTCCTGGTACCACAGTAGCTTGCTTAATTTGTCTCTGTAATGTAGAAATGTATAACCTCAATTAACAAGCTGATTAAATGCTTTCCTATATATGAGAGAAAAAAATCCAGTTTAAAAATGGAAGCATCCAACAGTACACTATACAGCTTAAGAAATTCTGCACATTTTAAGTTAGGTATTAATAGTGCTGGTATGTTTTGCTATTTCCCTCCAAAGCCAAAAGAACAATCAGTCGTGAGTGTCTCCATCATGTTACAGCATCAACAGACTCAGCATGTTATCCCAATCTCATCTCATCTTTAGGAATTCAATCCATGTGCTGCATTTGTGATGGATTTTTACCCATTCCACACCACAGGTGATGAGCAGAACATTGCTATGGAGCCATCCACATGGTCACCAATCTCCTGTCCACTTCCCAACAGCGTTTTAGGAATATGCTTTCTAACTAAAACTTCAGGGAGACTCAAAGGTTTCCTTGCGGCAGCTCACAAACAGCACAGACCTCGGATGCTGACTGACTTCACTACATCTATCAAGACATGATGAGTCCATCAGAGGCTCTACCCTGAATCCTGAGGAGAAAAGGACATTGCACAGTACTCCTGTTTAACCTTTTTTCTAATAATATGGCAGCCAACAGAGCTACCTACATCCTGGGTTTGTGCTGAATTGTTGGAGCAACCTGGTCTAGCGGAAGGTGTCCCTGCCCATGGCAGGGGGTTGGAACTGGATGAGCTTTAAGGTCCTTCCAACCCCAACCATTCTATGTGCTCCAAGGGCATCCCACAAGTCCATATTCCCTTAACACAAGTCACTGGAGGAAACCAACATGTCACGTTTGTCCCCCGTCCCACAGGGGCTGCCAGCTCTCACCAAGTTAGAACCAATGTGTCCAGCTATGTGACCTTGTGTCACTGGGGATCCGCAGACCCAGCTTCCTTTCCCCGGGAAAGGACAGTAAGCTAATATAATTAAAAAGAACATCTGTCATTCAATGAGCATTGCTTGATCCTGAAATCCCTCCACAAACAATAATAAAAGGAGAAATTCCTAAAAGAAAAAAGCAATCAGTGGTCAGCCCATGAAGGAAGGGAAGCCTCAGCCCACAAAGACAGAGAAGCCCAGGAAGAAAGGGCAGCTTGTGCAGGCTGGGGCCTCCACTGAGCAAGCTGTAGCCAAACAAGCACTGCTATAACAAAAACACTATCTATCCTTGCAGAAGAATTTAACTAGCACCACAAATAGGGGGTTTAAGCAAATATTTGCTATGAATTCCAAGGGTTGTGCTGGTTTCCTCAAGAAGAAAGGGAAGTGACAATCCTCAACGAAGATGTCACTTCAAAGTATCTCGCATCGAAAGTGGGGAGAAAAATCGCCCAATCAGTAAATTAGCCTTTTTGTTTCGTGAACAGCTTCAGTTAATGGGTTAAACATTTCTTTTTGGTTTTGGAAAACAAATGTGCATAAATAATGTTCTGCACCATCTGCTTGTGATTAATATTACTGTTTAGAAGTGAAAGAATTTAAACAAGAGCCAAAAGGGGTCATTATGCTCCCATTACCAGTGCTTGCTTAATACAAATGATTTCCATGAAGCATCATTATAGAGGAGGAACAAGTCCTCTTTATGATATATCTGCCTAAGTAGTTTCACCTCTCTGCAAATAAATGGGACCTCCAAAGCTCGTGTTTACCAGTAAACAGAACTGTCACGGGTTCAGCTTTGTGAACACCAAACATTTCATCTTGTTTTATTGAAAGCAAACGGATTGGTGATTGTGAGGGGAAAAAAACCCCAACAAAACAACATATTTCTGAAAGCTGTCTCTTGACTTTTCCTGTCTTTTAAACATATAAAACCACAGCACGCGAGGTTCAAGGAAGAGGAGATACAAAAGCACAGTTCTACCTGCAGACAGCTCACAGAACACTGCTGTTAAAGAGAAGCTGCTGGGAAAATGACAATACTTCCTTGCCATAATGACTTCCTCAGCATGCTTGTTGCAAAGGCCAGGAGTATTTTGTTGCAAATAAGCTCAAGTGGTCCATGAGTGTGCATGTATGTGCTTAGCTACACGTGAATATGCAGAGGTATACACACACATGCCCTAGTATTTTTGTTTGTGCTTCATTACATTCTGCACTAACAATTTTCTCCCATAAAGCTAAAAAAAGGGTGGGTGAAAAATCAGATATACTGCTCTGGGCACCTCTGGTGAAATCCTCAGCAAACTAAGATGGGAACACTCCTTGTCCCTGTTGCAGCAATACCTGCCCCTACCAACCACCACTCCTCAGCTCCAGTAGCTTGTCAAAACAAAGAGGATTTGAATATCCTTCTATGGGAATAACCCAGGGTAAAAAAGAGATGGTCTGAGGGATGCACAAACCTCCCTTCTCCTTCACCCAGCCACCAACAGCCTGGGAACATCTTGAGATCATCAACTCTGCTCAGCCTCACGCATCACAAATCGGAAGAGACCTCCAAAACTCTGACAGATCTAAAACCTGCTCAGAAACCAAGGGACCCAAACCAGCACAAATATATACCAGCCCCCAACACACATACAAATACAGATGAGCACAATTAAACACAAGTGGGTAACATTGATTTCATACATTTCCTTTAATAAGGAGGTGTGAAGAGAAAAAAACGTAGTAGATAAAATGCATACGGTCTATACTTATTCTTGAACTTAACAGATTTTGGTTTGTCTTTATACAAACTTTGACTTTGTACATGATTAGACTTGTTTAATTGCTAAATCTGTTTTAAATCTAAGTTAATTTCTCATTACCCTTCCATTTCTACTTCTTATCCTCTGGGGAAAAGAGCACACTTATCATTGGGACATTCTCACATCTTCCAAAGAAGTGCTGTAGGTGTTAATCTTATGTTTATGTTTGATGTGGGTGCGATGACTAAGACTACAGCGTTGGGTTTATTAATATGCACGGCTATCACCTCATTAGTTGCAAGGTTTGTTTTGAAGTTAAGCTGTAATATTTGCTGAAATGTCTGATCTGCAATAAAAGACTTGCTCATTGTTTGTTTCCTTTGCTTTAATCCATGCTCTAGTCACAAACTGTCTTTGCTGCGCTGCCTTACACAGCTTCTCCACCTTCCTTATGCCGTGGTGGAAACTCTTGACTCCTTAGCCTATGTGAGCTTCCTGCATGATCTTCTGCATGTGACAGCAAGGAAGTCAGGGTTAAACTGTCTTTCTTTTACCTCTGATGCATTAAAACCAGTAGCCAGAGATTACTCTGAGAAGCAGGCATTTCCCTGGCATGGTATTACTTTGTACCCATTTTTAAAACAGAGAAGTACACACACTTTTTCTGCGTCCTCAAAACAGACAACGAGACTGAAAACCTTGAGGAAACTCTGCTGAACCTGGAATTCTACTTATCCCCTCCATGGCACTCTGCAGGGCTGTTCTCACCTTGGTCATTCCAGCAACAGACCAAGGCCAGAAACATCTGAAGTGTGATGAAAAATCAGTTTCTGCGCTTTTCTTTAGGCCATGGCAAGGACCATACATAATTCATCAAAAACTCAAGAGCTGCTCTTCAATCAAGGCAGTGAAACCCATATAAAAGGGGGGATTTTGTTTTACTGGCAAGGTAAAAATCAGATCCAGGTTCTAAATTTACAGCAGAACAAACAATAAAACGTTGCAGTTATAGTACTTATGCTTGCCCACAATGCTCTCTCCAAATCACATTGAGGAGGTGACCAGAATCTTAAATGAGAAAATGAAAAATAAGATTCAAATGTGCCTTTTTTCTTTTTGGGTGTTACAAAAGTATGGCAATAATGTGTAGTAATGTCCAGCCATGGATGTTCCAGGTACCTTGTCATTTATTCTGACAATTGCTGTAGCAGCTCTGGCATCTAGACTGTTCATCCTCTTGCTGCAAGTGGATGGAGCTACTAAATCTGCATCTGGCAACATCCAGGATAGTAGGTGAAATGTTGAAACCATCATCAGAAATGAAGCCTCCATGGCAACTTGTGCCTGCACTGAGCTGGTCATGGATTCGGGGTTATTTCTGTTCTTTTAATCCAGCAACAACCAAGGGTCAAATACACTAGCAGCCTTAGTGTTTCACTGAGCCTCTAATCGGGGGTAACAAAGCCAAGACCTTAACTTGATCTCTACTCACTCTTCTGGCCACAGGCCTTTTTCTACCATCTGGGAGAGAGCCTGTGCTCTCACATCACAATGACCTCCCAAGAAGGAGACATTGTGAAACTGAGGAGGAATCCAAGCCAATGTCCTGTTGCACAGCTGCTCGCTGGGGCACTGCACAAAGGCAGGCTCGATCTCCTCCTCCATTCAAACTCTCCACAAAAGCCTGAGGACAGTCCGAGGTCTAAGGATGGGCAGGACCTCAATACATACCATAATCAGTGTTTCCCGTTAGCATGTTCTTACCACTCAGAGTACAGATTTCTGGATGACTCTCCAGAGGTGTCCAGTTCCTTGCTCTGATCACACCAGGACACCAGGCACACAACCTAGGCGTTGCTCATCACCTTGTTCAGCCTTCCACCTACCTCTCAGCCACTCCAGAACCAGTCACCCCACAAGAAATGCTCTTACCTACTTGGTCTGCAACTTAAGAATTTCTATGTGTCTCTCTACTTTACCCTTCTCTTTCAATCCCAAATGATGTCGGTTACTGCATGCTCCAACTGTGCACTCGGGCTGAGTGAGCAGATGGGTTAAATTAAACAGTACTGTTAGCAACATTAGGAACCAAAGCAGTTACTTTCAGACACTTTAGACACATTATAAATGTAATGAGTTTTCCTTTTTTTGGGGGGGGGGGTGGGGGGTGGTGAAGGGTGAAGAGCTTCTTTGTTCTTTAAACAGCGTTTTCCACTGTTCCAGAAATGGCACTGATTTTGAAAGTTCTAATACATCTAAATTAATTTTCCACAACAGGTATATTCGTAACAAAATAAAATAACATTTAAAAGCAATAACTAGATTTTAGATTGGATCTAAGGAGGAGATTCTTTCCTGTTAGGGTGGTGAGGCACTGGAATGGGTTGCCCAGGGAGGTTGTGAATGCTCCATCCCTGGCAGTGTTCAAGGCAGTGGACGAAGCCTTGGGTGAGATGGTTTAGTGTGAGGTGTCCCTGCCCATGGCAGGGGGGTTGGAACTGGATGATCTTAAGGTCCTTTCCAACCCAAACTATTCTATGATTCTAAATGAGAAGTTTAAAAAAACACGGATGAGCTTCAGGAAGGAGAACAAACTGCAAAACCCCAAAATAAAATGCCTTAGGTGCAAACAGGGTTAAAGGTTCTTTCACTGTTCGTGACCATGTTAGAGGACAGTGGGCCATGTTTTTAGAGACTCTTGCAGCGCCTGTGGCTGTCACGTGAGGTTTCTGAGGTACATAAGAAAACTCATTATCCATCTTCTATTTTCAATCCCAGGCAAACACCTGATTTGCCTTGCTCATTTTGCCACTGGGCACCTGCCTGTAACACTGAGCATCTCCATCTCCATAAAATTTGTTTCTTTCTTCAGTCTTTTTCTTTGCAGGGGAACAGGGATGGCAATAAAAGAGAAGAGCAGTAAAAATATTTTATCAGAAAACATGCAAGGCTAATGAGCAAGATTCATCCTGCATTACTCCACTGGAATCAAAGCAGATGTTTATAAGATCTACTGTCTCCATAGCAGCGTTGCTAATATAAAATAATATGGTATTTCACTGGAAAACAGAAAACATCTGTTACTCACCTCTGTGCAGAATCTTTAGACTCCATAAATAGGTAAGGCCTTTCACAACCTGAATTGAAAAGGAAAAGCAACACATATTAAAGATTCCTGGTAAGAAATACTGCACATCTCAGCTTGCACAAGTCATTAAAGACCCAAATTCCAATGAACTATGGAGCCAGGGCCAGAAAGTGTGGAAGGTGTCCCTGCCCGTGGCAGGGGGTTGGAACTGGATGAGCTTTAAGGTGCCTTCAACCCAAACCAGTCTGGGATTCTGTCACTGGATCCAACTGCCACTCTATTTCATGCATACAATATGATTATAACAATCAAACAAGCCCATCAGTCCACTCCCTAAGACAGCAGCTGGGTGTTACAAGTCATCCTCTCTGCAGGTTTTGTTTCTGTAAGTAATTAACCACCCATACTCTTGCATTTTTAACACTCTGATTTTCCCCTAGATTTACTACAAGCCCAGAGAGCAAGATTCAACAAACACATTTCTCCTCCTGCTCCTTTTTAACCCGACCCATCCCTGCTCTCAGCCAGCTTTCTTTAACAGAGCAAATCTTTCCTATAAAGTTTCCATCTCTGAGACGACATTTCATTCACTTCCCTGACACTTTGTGCATCTCCAGAACAATAAAGCATTCCCGACAGCTGTGAAGTTGTAGGAGTTTTTCACTCAAAACAATTACATTCGTTGTCCGAGTAGACTGCAATGAAATTACTTCTGTTACAGTGATCAAGCAGAAGTGCTAAAAATATCATATAGCATGAAAGCAGAGAGCATAAGGATTTACAGCCATCCTATTGGATTAGAAACTCCTTTTAGAACTTACTCTGTAACCAAAACCAGTGTCAGTGGAATCACAATCTCTTTTATACAGCAAATTATGATTCTGGATCCCCAACAAACTGCTCTAGGTGGCAATTCCTCAGTGTTTAACTCACACTTCATACCCATCTCATGGCCTCAGGTGCTAAGTCCCTGTAACAAAAGTCAAATTCTGCGCGCTCAGTGGTGTGCCCTTCTTCATGTTGGCCTTTCAAAAAGCAAAAGAGGGGAATTGTACTTACACAGAATTTTGTCATAAGAAGAAGGCAAAACCAAAAAGTATTTATACAAAAATAAAGAAAAGGGGTGCAACATCTCAGGCTTGCTCATTGGTGAAACTGCTTCTGATGACAGTAAGCTGCTCTGATTATTAAACATCTATTTGGACCACTCAAAATCTTTAAAACCATTATGAAATTATTTAATTTAAAGCATGCATTCATAGAAAAAAAGAAATGTTTCCTATGGGGGAAAAAAGTCAACAGCTGTGAGTTATTAAACACCTTTATTATGGAACATGTGCTGGATAAGCAGTTATGAAAGACACGGCATTAAACAAACTTTCACATTCCAGTTCTCTCAGTATCAGTGTGCAAAGGAATGAAAAGATCTCTTCCCTTTATCCTGGGCTGCAAAGATGCGAACAGGAGCCCCCCCAGATGGACTAACTCAGAGGAAAGCACCGTTCCTCACTTACCTTACATTTGCCTATTAGGAAAGGACTCTCAAGTATTAAATATTATTCTAAAATGGTGCTGGAAGAGAGTATCTTTTGATTGAACATCTAGCAGGAATTATTGGTATTCAGTAAAGCAGGTTTTACAACAATGGCTTGACAAAGCCTTGACACAAAAAGTACTTCTACCTGCTGTCAATCACCCACTCTCTTGACAGTTCAAGTGCACATCCTTTCAGGGAGAACTTCAATCAACATTAGCACTCAAAATACAGTGCACAATGTCACTGCTTCAGAAATTGAAGTGAAAATAAATGTGTGAAGTGGCAAGCAAAGGTAGAACAGATTTTACATCGGCGGACCCAAATAAGTACACAACAGTATGAAAGCAGGAGCCACCACATTACTTTGGGTTTCCCAAGATACACTTTTCCTTTGGAAAAGCACACTAGCCCTTCACATAAATAAAGTACACAAGAAGAAGAGAGCTTTCCCATTCTCGTTGATACTGCCTCAATACAGGTGACCAGGGTGAATTTTATTATGAAGTCAGAGATCCCTCCAGTTTCTTGGAGTTTCTCTTACTATTTCATCCTGCTCCTGAATCACAGAATCCTAGACTGGTTTGGTTTGGAAGGGACCTTAGAGCTCATCACTATTTTTAAGGGCTGTCAGTCCACCACTTTTCATGGCAAATTCATGTAACAAGAAAGGAAGCAAGAAGACAATCAAGTCAGAGTGAGAGGAGTGCTGGGATGCTGCTACATGTCTACATGTGCTGGCATCATTTTCCTCTGGAAATGGTTTCTCTTAAAAACTTCTTCAAATACAACAAAGGGATATTCTAATTAACAGATGCACGGGTCACACATATTATTAAGCAGCTTCAATAGACCAATGCATTGTGCATGTCTCAGGAGAATAAAAGACAAATGACTGTGTGCGTGGTGCAATGAAGGTAGAAAGAAAACATACAAAAATTGGGGAAAAAAGACTACAGAAGCTCCAGGTTTTGTGTACAAAATCCATTCATGTGAGCTCCAGCTTTGTTTGATATCCTCCTTCTCCTCAGTACCTGAACAGAAATCCTCCAGGCTTTGGGTAATCTTCCCAAGCTGTCCAGGGTGGGGATTATGGTGTCTGTGGACTTGGCAAAAAGGTGCCCAACCCACAAAATGGGCTGCTGGGCCCTGCTGAAAACATCAGACACCAAGACGCAGGGTTGTGAAGACTTAAAGGAGCCTTTCCTGCTGCCACTGATAAATTCTAGAGAGAACAAAGGCTTTCACTGCCTCCTTCCAACAAGTCTACTATGCCAACTGAGCAAAAAAGCAGCACCAGAGCAGGGGACGCTGCCAGGGCTGGTTCAGCCTCAGCGCACACCTTCTGTTACACAGAAGCAGGAGAAAGGGCCAAGTTCCTTCTCTGAAGGCTCCTGCTCCTTTGTTCACCTCTTTACTGACCCCCTGCACTGCAGTGGGCACAGTACAGGCTGCTAAAGCAGCAAATAAAAGAACTAGAAGCTGTTAAGTATGAGCTCACTGTCCTTGTCTGGGAGTCATGCTCACTAACTAACAGATTCACAGAGAGATGACCCTGCAGGTGAACTATATATATATATATCTCAGGACATAAAAGGTGGGGCTGAAGCATCACCATTATGGATAAGTGAATAATTGGAAGAGAACATCAGTAAAATATCAAGCCAAGGAGCTGGGGAGGATGGGGGAGAGGAGAGACAAAAGTAAGTAAAGGAAATGACAAGGTAAGTTAGTGTGGATGTATTAAATACATAACATGAAGTCAAATGAGGAAAAGAAGAAGGAATAAGCAGATGAAGAAATTCTTTAAGGCCCATCCCAGTATTATTACACTCTACACATGCTACTCAGGAATATGAGGACACTGTTCATTGCTCCATAGGGAAGAAGAGATGAAACGTTTTTACTCTGAACTAAAGGTGAAAAGCATTCAAATTCCATAAGAAACTGCTAGGCTATATAATGAGAAGATTTGAAGCTACTTAGAGGAAACAGCATCAGAGAAGGATGCTCATCACCCTGGGCAGGCCACACAAATTAAGAGGAAAGTAGAGCTGTGAATTACAATGAACAGAGACTAAATAGCTGCCTGTGTTGGATTAAAGGATTTAAATTGTCAGCTTGATGTATAATGAATGTGAAAGCCCAGCACTTAATTAAATGGCACATGATAGAATAACTTTGTTATGCTTTAAACTGCTTAAGTTATCAAAGTATTCCTTATATTTAGCAATTGTTTAGCAGTATCTCCCTCCCCTGGGAAATCCACTAAGACATTGGTCATTTACCCCTTATTCAGCTCTGGCAAAAGATGGGACTTCTGGTTTTTTTTTCCCTTCTTTTGTTGTTCTGTAATTTAGTTTTCAAATTGGAGCCAGTGAATTTCTAGCAGAGCAGCCACTGAAGGCTGCTGAAACACAGTGATGAGCTACCAGGTCCTCCAAGGATCCCATTGTCAACACCTTGTTACCAAACTGAGTAGATATAGGGGATTGATGGTTTTTCCTAGCTCACAGACCATCTCCCTGCTCATCACCTCCAAAATCACTATCAGCTCCTCAGCCATTACTGCTCAGGTGTGAAGGGTCCCATCACTGTAGTAAGAGCAGCCTGTCCCCAGGCAGCCTAGGTCAGCCAAATAAAAACTGCAGCCTCCTCCTTATCTGCATTCAGGAGTACATCTGCCACAGGGGAAGAGAGAAAATGTGTTCTGCCATTGCATTCTGGTACCAGGAGCTGACTTCATCTTTCAGCCTGGGAAGCAAACCTAATTGAGGTAACTTTGTGCAGAACAAACAGTTAGAATGGAAATTACACACGAGAAGCAGCAGATGAGGGAATCACCTTAAAGGCTAAGACAGGGCTTCTGAATCACTTTTTAAAGGAACCATATAGTACAGAAGGACTGCAAGGCTCAATAAAGGCAATCAAGAGGACTGCTCCATCCTACAAGGGTTGACGTGAAGAAACAGACCACGCAGATCTCCAGCAAATTCATGACTTCTTTCCTTATCCCATTCAATTTATCACATTTCTTGAGCCTCTGGCAACTCATGTGCTCGCAGTTCTAAAGGAAGGCTTCCTTAACCCTGGTGTCCTTGTGCACACCCAAGGGTTAGGAAGGACCTTCCCTTTCACAATGAGGACACGGACTCTGGACACGACTTGGTGTCACAAGGGGCATGTGTGCACTCAAATCATTCTGTTACACGCACAATCAAAACCCAAAAGACATAAAGAAAGAAGTACTTACAGCTACTGCTATTCTTCCAAGTACATGCTCTGGAATTTTTCTATAAACATCCAAAGAACCCCCTGCAGGGACAAACAAAATGTGCTTAGATAATACAAAATGAAATACTGCCCCAGATTTGAAGCCACAAGGGGTTTCTAGGCCTTGGTTATTAATAAAAACACCATCAATGATATAACAATAACTGTGTCAGAAATAACTGACCTTAAAAATCTACCAAACTCTGAATAAACACATGGAACAGTACCTGGGGGTCTTTCCACCCACATTACTTATTGCTGCTTGCAGCACTAACACTTAAACTCTTAGAAAAACTCCCAGTCACAAGACAGAATATCAAAGTTGGAGAACTCAAACCCAACAGGCTTGGAGAAACTTCTCAGGAATAAAAAAGTCATCCCAAAAGCAACAGTGGACGTCAGAGTCCTGAGGCTTTTCCCTTATGTTCTGCAAAGGAAATTCATGACCAAACCAGTGTTCAAAACATCCCTAGGGTGAAATTATTGGGCAAGAAAGCAAATTGAAAATTGAAAATTAAAAATACCCAAGTAGAATGGCAAATAAATAAATCAAAGGACAAGTGAATTACAGGCAGAGTGTACTACCATCAGCTTGCAAGAGCAGGGTGTCTTAGTCAAGGCTTGAGGTCCTCAGAGTGCTCAGCACCGATCTAACTCTGCTCTCAGTGCAGCATCTAGGTTTTACTGAGGACACCATTGGGAAAAGAGTGAGGCCAATGTCCAGCAATTAAGAAAACTCTTTACCTGTATTCTTATGCATCAAAATTAAAGGTTGGGATACAACTGGGCAGAGTCCTGGGATTCAGGAAATCTTATAAACTGGCCCAAGACAGTCCAAAGGGCTAAACATTTGTCAAGGTTAAAGCTGCTCATCTGCAGGATGAGAAAGTATTTTTTCTTCTCTTTACCTGTATTCTTATGCATCAAAATTAAAGGTCTCAGGGAAAAAAATGGCAAGGTCCCTTTATTTGCATTTTGTTCTTCCTTTAAATGATTGCTGTTGCTTTCTGCCAGAAGGAGTGCACAACATGAGGCAGACCAGAGGTCATCTCCAGTATAATTCCGAGTAATTAGTGCATGGTCAGTAAACACCATCGTTGTGCAACACCATGAGGGATGCATACCCTAAAGGCTTCAATATTTTCAAGCAAGAATTCAGAACTGGAAGCATTTATGTCCATTATTTTAAACATCTCTGAATTAGTAGGGGCATACACACTCTAGACAGATGCATGGTTTTGGCATGAGCAGATGCTTCCTTACTGCATGGGACTACTCCTGCTTAACACAGGCTTGCAAATCTGAGGCAACTGCAAGAACAGAGCAGAGAAATGGCTAAGACGCACAGCAGGAGAACAGCAAGGAACTGAGCTTCTAGGCTTTGCTGAATAAATGTAGCATTTTCCATCAAAATATGGAAAATCTGAGAGAATATTAGTACTTGGAAACAGGGCACAGTGATGCCTGGGACAGAGGCAGTGAATGTAAAAAGGAAGAAATAACAACAATAACAGACCATTTTAACAGGGAGAAAACAAAATGCACCATAAAACCCTAAAGGTTTTTTATCTTTATATCAGAAAGAATGAAGCTACTCGATGCTTAATGATACACATTTGGCTTTGGAAATTTTTCCTGCCATAAAGCCTTCTCTCCACAGAAAATTGTTTGTGAGATCCTTACTTCTTTATATCCGGCTTAACTGAACCTTTGTGAAAGACCTGGAGAAGGCATAAAATGTTGGCTCGTAAGAAAATCCTGGAGTGAGTAACAGACTATTGCTCCTAACAACAACGTGATGTTAAGAGTTGAACGCTGTGAAGAGGGTTGTTGCGCGAGACACAAGGGGACTGCAGCTGCCATGAGACACACTCTCAGAACTGATACACAGAGGGCAGCAATGATTATAAATTGCTGCAATCACAATGCTTTCCCTGCCTTTTCCCCAAGAATTCCACACAGCACGAAGATTTCAAAGCAAAGCACTAATACATCTCCACAATGACCGCAGCATCAGATGGTGGGGAAGGGGATACTCTTGGTCTGAAGACTCACATTGAGAGAAACAGGAGTACACTCCAAAAGGAGCTCAGTGCCATGCTGCTAAACAGCTGTGTTAGAAAATCATTCCTTGTCTTGCAATTAAGAGACGATTTCCATTGAAAACACACAGGACATTGGGTTAATAGATTTCTTTAAAAGAAAATCTGGTTTGGCTATCAAAACAGGAAAAGTGAGGAACAGCTGTTTTGTCAGCGAGGACAGATTGTATGGAACACTCAAATATCAACCCACAAATTAAGCCAGCATTTATTTCTGTTCTATTTACATTTTCAATAAAAGTAGGGAAGTTACACTCAAGAAAACACAGCAGCCCATGGAGAATGTAACATAAGCCCAATACCAACCTATTCTGTCTATAAACTACCTGTGAAATTATTAATACAGTCATACCACTGCATTTTGCTCTGTTCTGGAAAAGCACATCTTGATATGGTTTTCCCATTAACAGACTTAGCAACCAAAAGCACACTGAATGCACAACTCACCGTCCATGAACTCTGTGCACAGGGAAATCCTGTTTTCTACAAAAAAAGCACCGTAAAATCCTATGATATATGATGAGTCACACTGGGAAAAGAAAGGGAAAAAGAGAGAAGCCTGGTTTAAAATTTGTTGTAAGAAGATTATAAGGAAGAATACTGAAAATGAGAAAATTTATATACCTTGTAAAGAATTTCTAACTCCGACATTATCTGCTTCTGGAGTTCCAGTGTTATATCTAAGGGTATGACCTAAAATACAACACAAGAGATACATGATCACAGTTGACACAAAAAGTGAACGATTCAAAATAAAAACCTGAACATCTGAGTATTAGTAATCTTTATGTGATGAAAAGAAAGGCAGGAATAGATGGAAAGACTATTTTAATATAGCGATGAGCAAAGGAAGGAAATGGAAATGAAAGGACAGATTTATTTACTCTTAAAAGTCAGTTACAAGCAAACTAAGCTATACAGACAATTTTATCCATGAAATATCATCAGGTTTGTGGTTTAACCATTCAACCATGAGATGAGTTTGGCTTGAACACAAGCCGCAGACGTAACGTGAAGAGCAGGAGTGGTAGATCTACAGGTCCCAAAGTGCTGAAGTTAATTCTAAGGGCTGAATACACATAGTACTGGAAGCACCCCTGAATGTCTCATTGGTGCCTTGAAGGAGTGTCTCTTACCATGACCTTTATAGTTTCAGTTTAATATTTATCCCGTTTTTATCTGAATTCCTAACATTGTATGGAACATGGAAAACTGTTAAACACACAGAAAAAATGCAGATGATACAGATGCTTAGATAAGTATCACCAAAGCATTCCTCAAAACAACTACACACCCTGTGACTTGGAGCACTCAGCAGCTCATTCTCATGCTTATTACTGCTTCCTCCACCCAAACCCTCGTTTTCCATCCTTCTGAGCCAGGCTGCTACCCAGGAGTGAAGCACCAAGTGCTGCAGTGAAGGTGGAGATGCAAGTCTGCAGGATTTTCAAGACAGACTCTCTTAATAAGGATGCTGGTTCTGGCAGAACCAGCATTGAAAGTGAACTTTAATATGCAATTCTTTGCCATGATTATTTGAAGACTTCCACATTCAATTATTAAGTACTAGTATATAAACCAAAATAGATTCTAAATGCATTTAGCCACCACGATATTTCACAGTTTGATACTTGAAGCTAAAGGGGAACAAAATGTAGTCAATTTGCAGAATTAGCAGAACAGATATAACAGGCTGCATTTACTGCTGATACAACAAAATACAGAGGCCATTTCCAAACGCACAGATTTTACAGTATCAAAATCAGTCTAAAAGAAAAACCGATAACCTGCGCCTATCAAGACTTTGCTTTAGGGTTATTTATAAAAGCTGTCACTAAACTAAATTGTAAGTGTAATACAGGGCTGCCAAGAAACGTTTAACACACTTGTCTAGATCAATAATCATTTGCCAACAATATTCACTTACATTTTTCCAGCCTGAAAAACTTACAATAATTTGCTGGGATACCATCAGTTTCACCCACTGAATATTAACAGAATTTAATCTTGTCAATGATATAAAATCAGCATTTTATCTCACTAAATACTACTCACAGTGAGAAACTTCCCTGCCTGTTCCCTGGGAAGGCTTCACCGATCTGAACAAGGACTAGTTAGCATGATCAGCGTCAAATACATCACTGACATCCAATCAACAACGACCTGGCATGAAGAAAGGTCTCTGGCTGATTTGCATTAACTATAATTACATACAGACCCTGCATTCTAATAGTGGGATAACCTAGAAAGGCAGAGCTACCCTACTAACAAGTGTTGAGGATACTACTGGGTAGGGCATGTATGGAAATGCACTACAACAGTATGGGAAGCATGTATGGCTTTTGATAAGGGCCTGTAGGGACAGGCCAAGGGGAATGGCTTTAACCTGCCAGAGGGGAGACTGAGATGAGCTCTTAGGCAGAAGCTCTTCCCTGGGAGGGTGCTGAGGCGCTGGCACAGGGTGCCCAGAGAAGCTGTGGCTGCCCCATCCCTGGCAGTGTTCAAGGCCAGGTTGGACACAGGGGCTTGGAGCAAGCTGCTCCAGTGGAAGGGGTCCCTGCCCGTGGCAGGGGTTGGAGCTGGATGAGCTTTAAGGTCTCTTCAATACAAACCATTCTGTGATTCTATGATTTTTAATTTAAATGGTGTGGTGGTCCTCTGGGATTCAGGAAGGGCTGCAAGCATTCCTGCATATCTTTCTTAAGTTCCTGCCTAAAATACAGCGCTTTTGAAGCCACTTGGCACACTTAGAACTTACATTAACTCCACATACCCAACGTTCCAAGTGAAAAGGGTTAATTTTTAAAAGAGGAATACCTGAACATATTTCCTCTGCTCCAGGACAAATAAGGATGAGTTGTCAAGTTAAATACAAGCAGTCAAGTGACTGAATTATAATTTACTCTGTGCTCAATTTAAATTAGTGTGAGGCTATTAAAATATACAGTATAAATACGGCAATTCATCACAAGCTGTCATGGATGACTTCATCTATTTGCTGGAGTGGCATACGTTCCACTACAGGGAACGAGAGCAAAATCACAGGTCAAATTAAGCTGCTATTCTGTTTTAATTCACTTATTTAATCTGTGGCGACATAATTGTCTTTTACAGTATGTACAACTCAAAGGAAATTTGGGAGTATTATAGCTGCTATAAAAATGATTAATCAAATGGTCCATTTAAATGCTAGCTTAAGAGCAGGAGAAACTAAAAGCAGTTGAAGAATGGCAACCAGCCAGTGTACACTCACAGTTTTCATTCAGATTTTCCCCTCTAATTGAAAAAAAGTTACCTGTGAATAATCTATTCAACCCTCTGCACAATACCTAGCTGCAAAGTTCATACAAAATGACATTGGTTTCATCTATAGCGTATGTAGCAGTGGTTTGTTTTCCTATTCAATATATTTACAAGATTCTCTACCATGTGAAAGCATTTTAATCAACAGGTTTTCCAAATGTTTTCTTGTCCTACCAAATCTGTGGTTTATTATCAGAAAAAGCCCCCAAAACACAGAACTTTACTTTCACAGATCCATCCAGTGCTGTTTCTATTAGTGTGGTAATCCTCTGTCAAAACACTTGATCCGTGTGATGATCAGGTCAAGACACTGGCATTACCATCCTCCCAGCCGCTCTTTATTGCTGGGTATGCCTGGCCATGGATGTGTTAAGTCATTTTCTTAATAGAGCAAGCCAGCATGATCGCTGTCATTGCAGGCTTCCTGACCTCCAGCCTGTGAGCAGGTTATTTTACACTATGATAACACACACAGGTTGATGTAATATCTCGTCTGAAATCACACTAAAAAATACAATTGAGACTGACAGGACCACCATGAGTAATAACTACAAGAGAACCCAGTCCCCCAGATCTTCAGGATCCTATTTACCCACCAGGACTAACCAAACCCATGGACTCTTAAGGGAAACGAGGTGAAATTGCTGGGGAACATGCTTTTTGCCACAGGGAGATGATTTCAATTAACCTTGCAAAGGGTGAACTTATTTCCCTCCTGCCTGTGTGAATTTCCTTGTGCTCCACCTCCTCTCCAGGCAACTTCTGGGAGCACCCACAGCTCCCCAGCAGCACAGGGCCAGGGCTGGAGAGCAGCAATGCTGGCACCAAACACAGCTGCCACGGAGGATGCTCTCTGTCGAGCCTGAAGATTACATTAGGAGCAAGAACCAGGATAAAACAGCATCCATACACAACCCAGGCATCTAGGGCAAGAGCGTTTTTAGTGCCATACTGCAAGTTGTAATAAAACAATAAAGTTATTATTTTATACTTAAGTTTTCCATACTTCTGTGCCTATTACACAATTCCTGTCTTACTGCTCGTGACAGATTTAGGTATCATAGAATGGTTTGGGTTGGAAGGGACCTTAAAGCTCATTCAGTTCCAACCCCTGCCACGGGCAGGGACACCTTCCACTGGAGCAGCTTTCTCCAAGCCCCTGTGTCCAACCTGGCCTTGAACACTGCCAGGGATGGGGCAGCCACAGCTTCTCTGGGCACCCTGTGCCAGCGCCTCAGCACCCTCACAGCAAAGAGCTTCTGCCTAATGTAGAGCTTTCCTGCGAAACAATGTGGATTAATGTGATAAACCCAAATGAGATCTAAGAATCAGAGGGAGGGGAAGGAAATCAAGGTCAAGAAAGAATGGAGAGAAAGAAAGAGAGAAAGAAAATTACTGTAATATCTTACCTTTACTGCTAGTATTTTTCCACTAGGGACATGATATGCCCTGCATGAGGGAAAAAATTAAGTAAGTTGAGATCACATAAAATTACCTCTATACATGTGTGCAGCTTGTATCCACTAATTTCATAGAAAAATGACTTGGAGCTAATCTGTTTTACATTAAACCAATCTCAGAGAGCATTTCTAAAGGAAGACTGATGAAAACAATTGATCAAAAGACTATATTTACAATGAAACCATTTAGCAGGTTTTTACATCTGCATGTCTTATATAAAATCTGCACATTGAAGACTTTCAGGCAGCGGAATAGTAATCTTATGGGTATGAATTTATCCATTTTCACATTTTCTTTCAATGAAATAAAATCAATAAATACCCTTTATTCACATAAAAGAAGGTTTACCACACCAGTTTGCAGCCCTATGGATATTTTTAGTGGTAGGACAGTGAGATCCACAGTTCTATCAATTAAAGTGCAGTAAAAGAGGTAATGGCTGATTCTTTACCACAACCTAAGGACCCGCAGAAAACCTGAGTGAAATGACCTTTCTGCATTTGTATTTAAGATTAGCACATGTGTACACATACAAGGTTAGAAAGCATTATTGTTAACACTCACATGGACCCAGAATCATTTCCCACAATATTCCAAATCATTTGTCTTAATTTCTAAAGAAATTGGCTATTTAACACTGACTTCTGCATTCCTGACCACGAATTCCTAAGAAAATAAAAAGGAGGTGGAAAAAAAAGTGTCTACTAAAAATCTGATGGAATTCTGCATAAAAACAAAACCATTAAAGGTTTTCCTCTTCACTAGTTTTATTGTCTCATCCTGATTTATGACTCTATGCAGAGTAATGTCATATATGTGGCACTAACTTCAAAGAATTATAATGTTTTACCACTACATACCTCTAGCAATTATTACTGAAGAAGGAAGTTGGCCTATTGCATGCAAAATCATACATAGCAGAGGGCAGGACTGTTGTTTAATCCTATTTATAACCCTGAGTGTTCATATCATTTATTAATGGTTTGGAAGTTTCTAAAAACTTCACTTTAATTTACTAACTGAAGGATAAACATTTATGTGGCCAAGTGGCATCAGCCTGTAGGAGCAAACACCAAAACTCAGTGTTATTTAATATCGTAACAACAGGCAGGAAGCAAAGACAGCGCTCTGACAGACTGGTGGCTGAGTGCATAATCCATGAATCCCACGGAGTAAATGAACTTTGCTGTAACTAGGGATGAATCAACAGTGGCAAAACATTATGGACTTAAGATGAACAGCAATGACAAGCAAGTGAACAGGTTGAGATAGCATGCTCAGCGTCTGTTAGCTGCCGATGTACTGTGCCGGACAGTTTGGCAACTTAATTAGCCTGTCAAGAAAGCTGATCTTTTTTCCATAAGAGAGATCTCCTGTTTCCAAGTGAATTAAAAGGGAAGACTTGATTATTTAATTATGATGCACGCTAATTCATCCGTGGAAGTTTGGGTTCAATTTCCAGCAGAGGGCAGATACCTGGTTTGGTTTACAGAGCACTGACAGGACCCATTTAACATTTAATTATGGCTGAGCATTGGATCACAAAGGAAATGCCATGCCCATGGGTGCAGCATGACCAGTGGCTCTGCAAATGCCATGCTACCTGGGAGGAACGGAATTTGTTTACTCCAGGCTGATCGGCATCTCAGTTGTCCTGACCTTTCCCAACACAATAACTGTAAAGTGATTAATGAAGTTTGAATAGGAGCTTTGGTTACACCAAAAGACAACTGTACACCTCTGTAGTGCTTTAATTAACAGCTAACACTTCAAATTAGTCTGTAGTTGCTACAGTAATTACCCGTTCCAATGAGCGTGTAGGGAAAACTTTTGTTAGATATTACATACAATTCAAAGTTGGAATTGATCATTTTGGTTACAATCAGCACAGTGAAGGCCTGAAGACTTAGTACCTTTACGTAGGTTCAGAAGGATGCACTGAAATAATCCCACAGAATATTTGCAGCATGAAGAACCTACGTGCTCTGCATACTGCAACCATGAGTTAGTCTGTGGGTATCTATGAGGAGATTAAACTAATATTCATAAAGTAACGTGAAGTCTCATCCCAAGTGTCACCTCTCCCAGACCTCAGTGACACCTTCAGAAGGAATCAAACAAACTCGTCACTGTAGAACCAGATCACCGGATGAAGCAAAGCAGTAAAATGCAAAAGGTTCCTCAGCAAAGCTCATTGCACATTTCAGTGAACACAGGCTTAAAATTCTTCCAGGATGGTAGGCAAGTGGTGTCACCTAATAAACGGTTCCAACTTCTCTTGCTAGGAATGCATTTGAGCAGTGCCTAACCATAAAGACAAGTGGATGTTAAAGAGGAGGGAAAACAGTTGCTAAACAGCTGCTGAACTACTTGAAGACAAATGTAAAGAGCAGGAATTAAACTCATGGAAATGCAAACTATTCAAGGAAAACACTGTTCTGACATTTTGTTCCTTGCATGAACCGGCTCTGGGAAAACAAGTTCATTCTTCCCCTCTTTTTTTGTTGGAGTTTGCTTTTGACCCACTGCATAAAAACAGCAAAAGCTCTATCAGATTATTAGATCTGTGGCTATAAATCATATATTGTGAAGGAGAAACTGCACCACATCAGAGACAGCTTCTGCAACCAGAAGCTTAAAAAGTACTTTCGAACACTCGATGCCAGAGTCAACTACTTAAAAAGTTATCATTGAAACGCTGCTGCACTTTGCCAAGTGCAGGAAGCAGGTTCTGACATGCATTTCCCCTTCCCTCTCCAGATAAGGGACTGCTGTTTAATTAAAACCAAGGTTTAATAACTCCGAGTAGTAACTCACCCAACAAAATGTTTAGAGGTTGCACAAAATGAGAAAGAAATCTGCAGGGAGGATGGAGGAAGGAAAGCAGCAAGTCCTCCTCAGGAATAAAACACATTCCAGCGAGAAAGGGAGAAGGCGTTGCAAGAGCTCAAAGAGGGGGAAAAAACTGACCAAGAAATCTGGGAGATGGGGAAAAAGCGAGTTTTGGGGGATCTTCCTTCCCCCCTGCCCTGGTACACTGTGCTAATGTGGGATGGAGGAAGGGGCCAACATCTCCTTCGGGAAGTTCTCCTAGTGCGCATACAGAGCATGTAACGCTGAGGGGTTGGTTTAAAGCCTCCACACACTGTATGAGAGGATGGCAGACTTCAACCATCACATACTCTGAAACCTTCCCACTGGGGAAAAGAAATTCAAATCCTGCCCATTCCCACGAGAGTTAATTATTCTGAGCCCCCTCCATCCATTACAAGGAACAGCTCCTAAGCAAGACTGGCACAGTTGTGTCAAATATTTTATTAACCTTGACTATTAACCATATCCCCAGATATTTAAAGCCCTGAAGGGACCGATATGAGCCAAGTCCTTTAGCAGAACTTTGTCTCTTCTGCTCTGAAAACGGAGAGGGCCCCTGAGGGAGCGCTGCAAAGGCAGCTTGCCCAGCTCCGTGGCAAGAGCTGGGTTATTTTAGGGAATGAGAAAGGCAGGGTGAGAGCAAGCATGTGCTTTGCTTGAACAAAGCCCTCCAGCTAAGCCAAAAAAACTTGTGATGGACTGTGGAGTACGGCGTGTGCAAACCCTTGTGTTCCAGAAATCAGTATCATGGAAAACTAGAATAGGGCTTTGGGGGAACTGCCAGCTCCTCGGCATCTCTCCCCCTCCCCGCACTGTATATAAGATGTGTTTCTAAAGGAAAGCAAATTAAACAGTGAAAGCAGCAGAGCAGCTGGTTTCTGTTTCAAAAAAGAAAAGGCAGAAAAAGGTAAGTGAATTTTATATTGCCTGCTTTGCTCTCCCTGAGCTCCGCTGCAAAGAAAACCAGAGCAGAAATGTAAGATGCTTTGCCTCAAACCTCTTTACGGAATAAACCACAACCCATCCCAATATTTAATGCTAGCAATTCCAGACACTGAATATGGTGAGTTTCTGATCACTTCAGAAGTAAAACAAACCAACCCAAGCAAACAGAACATGCACAAACTGCTTAATAAACAGCTTAGACGTCAAACAAAAACATTCTCCCTCTTTCAACTTGCTAAGACTTAACAATTTTATATTCTCCCTGTGAGGAATTTTACCTAAGAGCACAGTGGGGAGCTGCACTGCTTGCTGTGATTGCAGTAGAATTCCTCCTAGGGTTAAGCAAAGAACTAACTTCAGGTTTCACATGAGAAGCACTCAAGAGAAACAGCAATTGTCAGTTTGTTTCCTGATTTTTAATTGTAAAGCATTTGCTCACATACGAGTGACTTCAGGATGGTCACATCAGGAGCATGGACTGAGCATGCAAAGATCCCTGAGCTTTCTCAAACTGCTTTTCCTAACAAATGTAATAACTTCTTACTAAAATCTGAGTTTACTATTGAGATACTTCAAGTAAACACAATCTCTATTTAGAAGCAAAAATTCATTGACGTTATTATACCCTGCTGCTAATGCTGGTGCAGAAAGGCACTGAAGGAGCCTGCAGCAGGCTACCACACAAAAGATCTGTCTTCCCATCTGTTCACGCTGGCCACCAGGGTGTATTTTTCTATTTCCTCCCCCCTGATAGCCACAAAAACTATTTCTAATCAATAAGATATTCCTTGCCAAGGGAAAGCCATGACCTGTCTGCTATTCCAATGACTCAGTCCCCTCCCGTTATAGAAATATAACCAATGTCAGCAAATATGACAAAATGATGTACTGACAGTACTGTTGCGTTAGTGGTGTGACTGCAGGACGCAGGGACACAACTCCCCTCTCACAGAGACACCACAGGAGCTTATGGCTGATGCCACGAACTCAGATGTGCTGTGGCTCTACTGGCTCTCAAGTGTTGGCATGTCATTCTGTTAACAGCAGTTCTAGGAGATGAAAGGGTGGTTGCACCACCACACCATCCAATCCAACCTCCCTCTTGAAGTGAGACCGTAGCAGGGCACGAGCTCAGCTGTGGCTTTGTCCATCCCTGTGCTGAAAGCCCC